TCTCATTTTACTAAAACTGTGAGTGGGTCACTAACGCCAGCCACAACGAAAACACATAAAATGATTCAAGAAATTGTTTTTACTTCAAACTTCTTGGCTTAGATCTAAGAGTTTCATTAATTTAATATTTAAAGATAATGAGGTTTGGTTCTTCAATGATGAAATATAAAAGAAGTTGAATAATACATCAGTAAACCTTACGAGGTCACAATAAATCAAATGTTACTGAAAGAAGGTTTGTGTTCTTAAACTGAGCATCAGGAAATAGTCAACACCGCAATAAAATAGATTTTCTTATTTTCAGTTAAATATGAAAAGAACATTCCCATGCTTGTGATGTCAATTTTTGCAACTTTCCTTTAGAAATAATAACCGCATTACGTATTTTATCAAGGCAGAAAACAATCATCAGATTTGAGATGCCACACTAGCTTTCTATTTCTCTAAACGGGCCCCTTCCAAACATGTCCAGACAGGTCTGCGGTTCCTTCTGTGAAAAAAGAAGTGGTCAGAAATATCATGTTTTGGTAAAACCACAGTCTTTGTGTAGCCTCACGCATTGCCACAAATGATCCCTCAACATTTTGCTTTCATATTTTATTGTTCTTGTTTAAGAAGATGTTCTGTGCATTTCTCATATTTTTCAACATGCAAGATTTAATTTCAACTTCTCTAAATATAGATGCCACCAGGAATACACTGATCCTAGGTGATCCCAGCGAAATGTATTCAATTTTCAGGAGGAAAATGTAATACAAATTTTAAATCATTACAAAAAAAAACATTAGAAAGATGTATGATAAAGGTCTGTTCTTGAATCCCTAAGTCACAAAGTATATGAGGACGTAAAAATTAACCTTGAGGATATCTTATAAAATTGAATCAAAAAGCTGTTCTTTCAAACAGTATTCAATTAAAAGCAGCTGTGGGGATCTTTCATTTACTGCTGTCGTTAGGTTGATCCGAAGTTAGGTTGAGACTGCAAATCCAATATGGATGCGGCCGTCTCATTTTCTGCCTATGTAACAGACGGGTCAGGGTTCGTCCAGTAATATTTACAGTCTATGATTAAAACTAAACTTATCTGAAAATTGAACACTAGGAAATGAATCACCATGATAAGAAATGAATATGACAGAAACCTTGTGTATTGGATTTTATAGTTTGAAACATGTCCCATCTGTTAACATGGAGGAGGCAGTGAATATGACCTATACTCTATAGCTCTAAATGTTCTTGCTACACTTTTTGGGGAGCTGTCATATTATTAATCTTTTTCAAAAGTCTATTCTAATATTGAGAAAAACGTGTCCTTATTTTTCGTACACTAACTTTAAGTAGCTCACTTTAGACTTTATACCACATAAAAAAACATTGATTTATTCATCTGTGACTTCCTTTTCCAACCTGAAACACATCTGAAACTAAATAAAAAATGAAATGATCAACCCTTTCATTAAGATGTCCTTTTACGCACAAGCATTGAAATTCCATGACAGTAGTCATTTTAATTATTTTCTTTCTATTATGTCTATTATGCAAGACCTATGAACAGGAAGATGCCTAACTCATGTCTGTGCACCTGCAGGAACCAAGCCCGTGAGAACTGATGCTGTGGCTGGAAAACAAACTGAAACTTGGCCACTTTTTAAAGTTTCTACGGTTTGTCTGGGCCTGCTGTGTTTCCTCCTTCTGACCACGGCCATCGTAATCAGCATTCTCTGTGAGTTTTTTAAAAGACAAAAGCTGAAGTGGAGAGAAGAAAGAGGAAGAAGAAGGACAGATTGTCATTGTGTTCTGCTCTTTTTCCTCTCCACTTAGATAAAAAAGACTTTAATCAGTTGTCCAGAGACCTGGCCAATCACACAGCAGAGAATCACCGGCTCCTGGTCCAGTACCAGAACCTGACTGATGAAAGAGACAAGTTACAAACCAGTTTGACTGTTGGTGAGGATTAACCTGTGTATCAAATACAGAGAAAAATGTTTATTGGGCCTTTTTTTTTTTTGGCGCCAAACAAACAACAAAATTTAACTTCATCTCTCACTTTTTCACAATTTTCAACCAAGCATGAATTTTTACATGCTGAGCTTAGCATGTTTCACAAATTCAAACTTAAATGAAACTGAGAACAAGTAAAGCCAGTCCTCTCAGTAAAGCACAGAATTAATTTAAACGTTTTGTACGTTATTAGTATTTGAAAGAGAACAGCAAACATTAATGTCAGAAAGGTAAAAATGCATCCTATTGAGTTCATTGTAGTAGCATGGGGTTGTATGTAAGGTTGGTTGGTCTGTCCACCCACCATATTGACTGAAACATATTAATAAGTCAAATATTTATTGCCATAATCACTGATTGACTGTTCCACGGTGCACAGAGGATGATTTCTAATGATTTAATCAATCCCATGACATTTCCTCAAACATGAGGTTCTGATAACTGAATAAATGATGTGTTTATGACTAAGGTTAAGAGACCCATTAACTGCTCACATGGCATAATCATTAAGTGGAGCCATTATTTATTTCTCCCCTAATCACTGGTTATGACTACAATAAAGTTCTAATAGTTAAAATGAATGGCATTCCCATCTGCTTCGGCTTTCCTTTTAGATCTTTAATCAGCTATATTTTTGGATGCTCTAACGACTAAACAGTGAACAAAATAACCATTTCACACTTGTAAATTTGTCTTGTCCCAGTGAACATGCTAGCAAGCTTCCACAAGCTCGCCGCTAAAATAAGCCTGTCAAGGCCACTAGCATGGATGTGTACTCATTCTAACCACATTCTAACATGCTAACAGTACTGAACAAAGATGACCATCATGACCCGCTTATCATCTTCAGTGTGAGCTTGCCAGCATGTTGAAATAAGCATTTAGATTAAAGCATTTGGACAATGAAAGTTGTAAGTTGGTTCATTAACTTGACAAAGAGTAATTTAGATAGCTTTTCTACAGCTTTATTCATTGACTTTATTTATAATTGACTGATTCTTAAAAAACGTATTTACAGCTGCATGTTTTCATTCCCTCACATATTCATAAGGTGATTTGTGTCTTTCCTCAGGTAAGTGCCCTGATGGATGGAGGAGATTTGGTTGCAGTTGTTACTTCTTTTCAACATCAGTTAGCACATGGTCTCGCAGTAAACAGATGTGTCAACTCCACGGAGCAGACCTGGTGATCATAAACAGCCAGAGCGAGATGGTGAGGATCTCTTTCCAGAAATGTGTATTGTTGTATTGGACTTTTGAAGTGTTCATTATTTTTTTTCCCCACTTTAAGATGTTTCTGAATAAGGTTAGAGCTCATTCAAAGTTTTGGATCGGTATGGATGGTACGTCATCCAGCTATAGTAACAAGTGGACTGATGGATCATCACTTAAAACTACGTAAGTGTTTCTATAGATTCAAAACTTTAAAAGTCTTATGATAATTCATGCAAATTCAGAACATAACACACCATCATATTCAAATGATAAAAGACATGCACAGTGGTGTACACATAAAGATCTCCACTCATATTTAGCATTATTGATATCAGCGCTGTCTCTTGGTTTTTATCCTGGTGAAGTAAAACATTGCAGAAACAAGTAAACCATGATTTAATACATAAGAAGCAATATGATCAGATTCTTATATGATTCGAATCATGATGATAAAATTACTAACATTTTCTCTCTTCCTTCTCTTTGAATTTATACGACTTTGTTGTAGGTACTGGCAAGATGGACATCCTCAAATAAGCCACATGAGATATTCGCCTTCCAATCAGATTTGTGCAGCTTTTAACAGCTTTGCAGTTGGTTCGTTTGTGAGGAATATTAAGTCATGGACTAGTGAGTCCTGTAACCTATTCCTATGGTCAGTTTGTAAGAAAGAGGCTGACATGTCCCTAACGTCCTGGTAAACTCAAAAGACATTACAAAGAAAAGTTTAATTCTCGTAAATTAATTCTGATCGAGTGCTGCTCATGATTAAGTGACGTTTCCCAATTAAAACTAAGACCATTCATTGTAAACGTGAAATATTAAACATGAATTAAATACACTTTAGGTGACAGGCTTATTCTTTAAATAATTGGTAAATAATATTAAACGTAGATGAATAATTTTTTATACAGCATCAACAGCAGTAGTCCTGTCAGGGGACTTTAATGGAATAAGACAAAATAAACAGTATAGAATAAATATATACAAATAATAACGGAAAATACAGTATGTACAATGGCTTACATTTATGTAGCAGAATTAAGTCTATATAGAAAATACATTTAGGCTGGATGCATATAGCTATACTTGACTTTTTCTTTTCCAAATGACTTTTTAAAGGTTAAAAAATCTTATTCCAGACGTGTTTAAACGGTTTCAGAACTAATCAGAAAACACATCACATGACTCTTCAACCTGGGGATGTGCATGCTGGAGTAAAGTAAATGGACTTGAGCTTGTAGAGCGCTATTCTAGTCTTCTTCAGGTCAAACCTATACACATTCACAGACAGCTGTCTGGATTGAACCCCACACCTTCTGGATAAGAGAAGACCAACTCTACCACTGAGCCACAGCTGCCCAAAGATCTACCATTTACTGTATATAAAGTAAAGCCAAAACCATGTCTAAAAAACATTTATTTGATGTGTATTTTGATTGAAAAGTTTGACCCATGTTCCATCAGTTAACATGGAGGAGGCGGAGCTTATGACCTAAACCACAGCCAGTCAGCAAGAGGAGCTCTCAATATTTTTGCTTCCCTTTTAGGGAGCTGTCTTTTTATCCATTATATATTTTAAAACAGTCTCTCAACAGTATGGACAAACAAAACATTGCTTCATGAAGGGCTGATAACTCCAGTGAACATGAAAACTGCCAAATTAAGCTTTTGAGCACCTACAGGCTGTAGCTTTGTGAAAGGGCTCATCGTTTGACAAACTAATGAAATTAATTATTTATCACTTCACTTCTACCGAAACCATAACAGACTATCTTGAAACAAACACAGTAAGCCTCTAAAGCACACAAAATCTGACTCATACATTGATGTAATTGTCATCAATTATAATAATAATATAATTATAATGTACAGTAGTTCACTTGATTAAGGGCATTTATTCTTTTCTCTTTATTATTCTATGTTCTGTTTCATTAAAATATTTTTTTGGCCTCCTCATCCTCACCGTGCTTGCGTTCTGATTCAGCCACCAGGGAGTGCAAAAGTCAAAAATGTAATGAGCCAGAGCCTTTACACTTTGTGCAATATCGTGTTTTTTTTCAGTCAAATTCAAGAGGAGACTCAGCTTTCTATGCAAAAGTAAAAGTGATTGTATTGATTGTTCTGAATCTTTAATAGAATATTGGAAATATATATGTATGGTACTTCTTTTTTCACCTTTGGTTTACTGTTGTTTTTTTGTTATGGATGTGAAACTGCGCATGCTTTGGGTTGCAAGAAACATGTTGGGAAAAATATTCAGATAATATGAAATAAAATATTCTGAATGAAAAAATCATCAACAAAAAAGGTCAAAACAAAATTGAGCTTGGATGAATGAAGATGGAGTATCAGTTAAACATACTCACATACGAACAGTGCTGACTTTGTCTACTGTCTTCCTCTTCCTCTTTCCGTTAAAGGAAACCATTTTTTTTTTACAGCACCTTATCTTCAGCACCTGTCATGCTAACCTTATTAATAAATAACTGACATATGATGATCAGATGGCACCAACAGTATTTCTTTGTCTTGTCACACCTCACATGCAAAGTTATCTTACAATACAATACAAACTACAAAACTCTCTGGATGATAAAGGGTTTCAGTACAATTCTTATATTTCGAAACACTGGTCCTTCTTTTTCATTTTACACATCAATAGGTGTAAATGATTTAAAGGTACCATCCAGTAGATTTGTTAAGCTAGCAGCTGCAAAAACGACTGCAACAAAATCCTGGGGGGCAAATGTGCCTGTCAAGAATAAAGTCCACTCAAAGTGATTGTTTTTGTCACAAACAGGCTCAGATTGTTATTCTTGTGTCCTTAATGAGACAGACCATTGATTGAAGGCATTTTTTTTTTACAGCAGATACAGCATTAGGTCCATTGTTTTCTTCACCCCACACTAAACTCCACTGAGACTAATCATTTCATTATTCGTTTATTTAACACTGCTTCATGTGTAAAATACAAAGTTGCCATGCATACAGGTGTCTAGCTGTGGTTAATTTGCAAACCCTGTCCCTGGCTAAGCATTTAGGATTAAAACAGAATCAAATACAGAAATATGATGTGATACTAGACAAATGTTGACATTCTAAAGTCATTACAAATAAGTGACTAAAGTTGACCAAACAGTCAAAGAGGAAACAGTCAATGCTCACACACTTGCTTTAGTTTCAGCCAGTGTTTTACTTCTAAACAAAATGCAGCTCTGCTTTTTGGTGCTCTACAGTTTCCACCCTTTGTAGCCAGTATTCTTATTACTTTGCAGAACACAGAAATGTTGGTCTACCGCATCCTTTACCTGTTACTTTCATTTTCTCTGAAACTTGAAATGGTGCTTTGTCAACGTCGTTGTTTTCCTGTACGTCATCCATTCAAGAAACTAGAGCTGGTCCCTCAGCAGGGCAGAAGAGGTTATAGGTGGGTACTGTTTAGTCTACACAGGACAGATGCTACTCTCTCTGTGCCACCAATAGAGCTCCACAGGAATGAGTCCTAAATCCGTAACGTAAGTTAGCATTTGAGCGCCAAGGGGTCTATCGTCTAAAACTCAACGGGGATTTTGAACGGGTTTGTGGTTAACGCCTGAAATAAGGTCTGTGGTTAACACAAGCTGAAGAGATGTTGGTGTTTTGTTAGACCACATAAACTATGTTAGGTAATACCCCCACTTGTGAATTTGGATTTTTTTACGGTTCTTTAAAAAGGCGGTTGCTAACAAGTGGCTAAATGTGACTACAGTGGTTGTCGGGGACATTAAACGTCATCACGCCAGACACAAAACGCCTACACTTCAGAAATGTGCGTTTGCCACAGAGCCATGGCGATGCTACTTCCGGGTTGGCCTACAAAAATACGTCATTTGGTTTGTTCTCTATAAGGCTTCATGGTTTCGATAACAAAGCTCTTATGGATTCTCTTAAACTGAGAGATCGTTGTTAGAACGGGAGCTGATAAATGTACACCTGTTAGTTCAGCTGAAACTAGTTACCACAAAAAATATTCACACATAATAATCCTTTAGGCTCTGTAACTGGCAAATTCAATTTGAGTGTCAGTGTCATGCAAAGTTCAACAGGCTGTATAGTCCTCTAGGGGGTAGTGTCCACACAGAGTCCCTCAAAGTTTAGTTTCAACACCATGAAGCAGATCATTCACAGTGTTGTCTGGAGGCCTGTACTTTGAGGAGAGTTCAACATAGCCACGCTATGTTTTGGTTATCTCGCTTCACTATAACCCTAACGAAGGAGAGCACGCTAAACGTTCCCACAAAGCTTGTTTTCAACACGATCAGACAACCCAGAGTTTCTATGAGCACATCTCAAACAGCTTACGACCAATCACAAACACGGAAATACTGTCATATTTTTACAAACTCAGAGCAAACTTTGATACTAGAATATATTCATTTAAACACATAGTCCAGAAAAGTCAACACAGCTGCATTTCCCAAATGCAGGAAGAAGGAGTGATATTCTGTCCTCAATGTGTTGTGTGTGTTTGCACCAATCGACAGATAGCTAACAGACTTTTGGAGAAATCAAGGGCTGGAGTCAAGTCAAATGCTCTTTACTGTTGTCATCATTCTCTTTCGTTTTTAAAAGTAGATGCTATTAAAACAACATTTCATGTTCCACACAAACAAAGGCAGCTACAACGTTTTGGTGTACAAAAATCACATTCCAAAGAATAGGCCAATATTCAAACATAACTTGTAAAAGAGTTACAAAAATATAAGCGGCTCACTGCAGCATAACAAACTGTACTGGTATAAATGCAACAAAGTTCTTCTAATCAGAAAGAAGAGTGTTAATCATTTCTGGCTTATTGATGTACTAATGGTGTTTGATCCTTACTGTGCACCAACAAGAATGTTTCTTCATAAGCCTTGTGGCACTAAAGACACTTTTCAGAAAATTGAGCACATATTGTGTAATGACCTTGAATACAAGTAGCTGCTTGATATTGAAACACTGATAGCGTCTTCTGTTTCTGGATCACTAAGCTGCTCATGCATGTGGGAAGTTTGTTGTTTGGTCATAAACATGATCATCTGTTTCAGGAGGAGACAGGGGATGCTGCACCAGCTTGTAGTACACCGATGTTAAGCCGGGGTGTTCATCGGGTTCTGATGAGTCTGGTAAATGTCTTCCCTGGAGGCACAAAAACAAAAGAAGTGAGCAAGGGCATGAAGAATTAGAAAAAGATACTTTCTGCTGAAGCTCAGATGTCTGACCCGTCTTCAGCTGTTCCAGTTCCAGAGGCTAATTATAGACTTTATTTAAGAAGTCAACATAGCAAAAGTCTGATTATTATTTGCTTCAGTTCCTATTGGTATTGAACTATTCTAATTCAATCATAAATAATCTTTATTAAATTTGAGGGGGATGGAGACATTTCTTTTTACTACATTACCCCCCTATAGACTGGTGTGTAACAGTGACTTTTGAAGACTTTAGGTTAAGGAGAATTCTTGTAGAGTCTACACTACAAACTTCAAAATCAGGAAAAACTCTGTGAAGATACTGTATATTACTACCATTCTTTAAGATGTAACTGTACAAGAGTACATGGATTTCATGAAAAAGAAAACACCAATACTACCAATATTAATAATGCAATTAATGATGTATGTGTGTTCTGTCTTTTTGATGGTCAGACTATCTAAGCGATGCCATTACAATTCCTGGCAGCTCTCTTCTCGTCTTTTCCTGCCACGTACTTAACTCTTTATCTCACAACCTGCATTACCGTTTATATAATCACTGGCCCATTTCCTCTCATTCCCCGCCGGTTGTCTGGTTTGCACACGCCCTATGTTTCATCATTAGAGCTGAGAGCAGTCTGCTTAACTTCGCCTTCTGAACCACTCAGCCCAACAATCAAACTTTGTGTCCTTACGTGACTCTTTTGAAATGTTTTGCCTGTTTAATATTATGGTATTGGTCATTTCCTGTGTCATTAAGGAAATTGAGACGTTAGCGTTATTTTTAAACTGTCTGTCTTGACTTCTTGGTTCAGGCCTGTAAATCTATGAGCTACTCAGCCCAAAAATTATTTTCTTAATTTTCTGCTGCAAATTCAGAAAAGGAGCCACTTCCACAATACATTCAGGGGCGAATGACAAACAGCAAACATGCCATAAGTTGAGACAATGCAGAGTCTAAACACACAAAGAAGGAAACATTGGAACTCTGGCATACACAGGACCATTTCACTTCACACAGTGCCTCATGTGACCTCTTGTGTTACGACATTATGAAGTATTGCTGGTGCAAAAAATATCTGAATTGCCACACATCCGAGTCATAGTTGCATTAGAATAGCCTAACTAATCATGTCTGGCAGATATGTAGACATAGTTTGCATGCAGCCAGCTTCCACTGAAGAGGATAAAGATAAACACATTAAAGACAACACAACAAACTATTTGAGAAATTTCAGTCTGGTTTCCGCTCTGCCCACAGTAGAGAAACAGCTCTGGTCAGGGTCACAAATGACGTGCTGATGGCAGCTGACGCTGGTTCTCCATCTCTCCTCGTTCTCCTCGATCTGACAGCAGCATTTGACAGCATCGATCACGCCATCCTCCTCAACCGCCTTCACTCTGTCATTGGTCTTTCTGACTCAGCCCTAGACTGGTTCTGTTCATACCTCACTGGAAGAACCGAACATGTCTCACTTGGAGACAAAAAATCCTGGACTCACCTTGTCACCTGCGGTGTCCCTCAAGGATCAGTCCTCGGCCCCACCCTGTTCAATATCTACATGCTACCCCTTGGCCGCGTCATCAGCCAACATGGAATTTCATTCCATTGTTATGCTGATGACACTCAAATATACCTAAAAACAAATCAAACCCCCTCTGCACCCCTGCCACCACCTGCCTGGAGGAGATAGAGTCGTGGATGAAGAACAACTTTCTCAAATTAAACAGCTCCAAAACAGAAGCGATTCTACTTGGCACCCCACACCAGATCAGGTCATCTCCCATAACCACCATCACCTTTTCTGGCCAAGTCATCCACCTCTCTCCAACCGTCACAAACCTCGGCTTCAAAATGGACCATAAACTGAACTTTGAAGCCCACATTAAACATCTGTGCAAAAACTCATTCTACCACCTCAGAAACATTGCCAAACTCCGCCCTACACTCTCCCTGTCAGATGCTTAGAAACTCGTCCACGCCTTTGTCTCCTCCAGGCTGGACTACTGCAACGCACTCCTCATCGGGATCCCTAGCAAGAGCTTCCAGAAGCTCCAACATGTCCAGAACAGCGCTGCTAGGGTCCTGCTGAGGGTGCGTAAATATGAACACATCACACCCATCCTTCAGTCACTACACTGGCTCCCTATTTCATTCAGGATTCAATACAAAGTCACCCTTCTCACCTACCAGTGCACCCATGGAAATGCCCCCCTCTATCTCAAAGAACTCCTCACCCCACAATCCTCCACACAAAGTCTCTGCTCTGGAAACACCAAAGCCCTCTATCCCCCCAGGACTAAACTCCACACCATGGGTGACCGGGCCTTCTGCTCCTCTGCTCCTAGTCTGTGGAACGCTCTCCCCGAGCAGCTGAGGGCTCCACAGTCTGCTGACGCTTTTAAAAGGTCCCTAAAAACCCACCTTTTTAACAAAGCCTTCTGCTTGTGCTTTTAGTTGTGCTGATTAAATTTGTTTCTATTTCTTTTCTTTTTTTCCTGTAACAATTTGAGATTTTTTTTGCAAAAATATAAAGTGTGTTACAAATTAAATGTATTATTATTATTATTATTATTATTAAAGACATGTTTGACATCACATGCAAAGTGAGTTATGCAGATATGATATATTTACTTTGTGGGAGGTTGATTCAAACAGACATGTCAATGCTAACGTTGCTTTGCATCTTACCGTTTAACCGTCTTACCACCCAGAGTGTGTGTTTGTACTAACCTGGCTGCATCTGTCTGCGTTTATATGGACATATGAGTACACCACGTCAGAGTATCTATTCACTGAACATACAGAGAAACAAACAGTTAGAGATGTGAGGTGACATTTTAATTTATTAAAACAAAAACCGCTGAAGATTTGCAACAAATAACGAAAAAATGTCATTAGAACAAAGAATAAAAGAACAGTTTGCTGATGTTTAAACACAAATCATGTCTTAATACAGACATCTTATCAACATCATCATTTGATCTTTTAGGAGTCAAGAAGAAACACATTCTTTTAGAGTTTTTAAAGAGCTTTACAGAAAAACACTTTGATAAATGAGCAGTCTAATGCTGTGTTCATCTCTTTGGTAACACTGAACAGATCCCGACTTTTACAACTATTGCATGCATATTGTTGAGGAAAACTTCCTTGTTGAAATCTGTCATTTCTTCGATTACCCTTTTGAGCTCTGGGAGGAGAAACCATAGACTGTAAAAAGAAACATGCACCCAACTGCTGGCTGGAATCAATAAGACAGTTGAGCTCAATCAGAGCTCTTATAAACAGCAGGAGAGCTTTAAACTCATTCTGCTTCAACCAGACATGTTCTCCTTTGCCTGTCAAGTTCGTCTAAAGTGAGTTATTCTTTTAGGTTTATCAGTTTGATGAATTCATTTATTTGAGCTAATTTGTAACCTAATTTTGTGTTTTAATTTATGTCCCCGCCCGTGTTAAAAGATTACATCAACTGTGTTGAGTTTGATAATTTCACTTGTTAATTGGGAAGTTATTTTTGTTAGAATTTCTAGAGACATAGAACTGACTAGTTATGTACCTTGTTGTCTTTGTATAAACAAAAAAATCATCACCTTTGCTTTTGTGTAGAACCTGCTGTCACTACCTTTAATATTGTTGACTCACAGACCTTAATTAGTGTCTCTAAGCTTCAGACCTCGTGGTTTATTCTAAAGCTGCATGATGTTCTTTTTTAAAGGCTTCCACTTTGTTAGACGTTATTGTGGCCCTGCAGCCAATCAGAATCAAATATACACTCAGTAGGAGAACTCTAAAATAAAGTATACGTTTTGACAAGGTTACCAAAATATTTAGAAAAATCTGTAAAAATAGATGCATAAATGTAATTCCTACATGTTTTTAGACAAAGATAATGAAAACGTATACCTGCCTTGTGTTTGTATGGTTGACTTCTTGTGTTTGAGGACAAACCATCTGATGAACAGGGCAACAAGTACAACAATCACGGCCAACACGATAGAAATTATGATCATATCTGTCAACACAAAACATTCATGATAAAAAAGTAGAACAGGTGACAGCTATTATGTGGGAGTTAAAATAAGTCTTACAGCGTCCAGTGTTGGGGTCACTCTTGCTGCCTGAGTTAAGTTCCACACAGATGTTCCTAACATCGACATGAAGAGTCTTATTTTCAGCAGGGTTGGCTGCCACACATCTATAAGATGATGTGACATCATGTCTGTGTACAGTGAGAGGCAGTGAGAGAGCAGAGCTGCTCTGGTTGATTATTTCCTCGTCTTTGTACCACAGCAGAGTCGTCTCTTCAGTCTTATTCACCAAACACAGCAAGGAGCAGCTCTCTGCGCTCACGTTCACAGCTTCCACTGCAGGAGCTGCTACAGACTCTGGAGAAGAAAGCAATGGAGAGTTAAATAAGAAAATATAATTAACATTTAGACTGAGCACTCTACACTTCAATATACGATCATAGTTATATGAGTCAACAGAATAACATATTCTGGGGGATTTAATGTTATAACTTCATTAACTGTAGCCTACAATACAAGATGCTAAGAATCTACATCATTTGAAATGTAAGTCTTTGGTTTTGGCTTTTTAATTAAATGTATTATATTTCTGGTGGATTTTCCTGATTGTGTTCACTTGCCAATGTTCTCACTAAGTTAACAATCATTTTGCTCGAACTCTTCAGGATTTAAGGAGGTTCCTGATCGGAAAATTGTTTACATTTTTTGCCTTGAGCTCACCCGATGGGGGTGGGGGAGTGTTTACACCACCAAGACAGGAGTATCAATTGGCAGGAAGAGCTTCACTTAACAACCACTAATGGGGATTTCACACTTGAAGAAACCCCCTTGTAGCCTAAATGTTTCCATATGAAGTCAGGTTGAACTGATGTGAGAACGCAGCAGGTAATTCTCAGCAAACTTGACCGCTGTGCTCAGCTTGACGCAGATATGCTTTCTCGCTGTGCAAGACCATGACAATGAACGGTTCTGAGAGCGCTCACCACACCCTATTTGAGAGGCACTTGAGAGCCGGACACTAAGAAGTTCCCCTTTACTTATAATGCAACATCTTTCATGATTGTTAACTTGCCTCCCAGGTGCAACTGTTTCCTGATTAGTAATATTGAAACTCCCACGCTTCATTTAACCAAACAAATGTAGCTGCTACAACAGGTTTGGGTGATTTTCATGAACCTCTAAAACTGAAGATTGACATAATGTAAAGTGAACAACTCAAGTTTATGTTGAGTAATGTGTCCAAGAGATAACAAAACAAGAGTTCTATTGTGAGGCTGTTTAGATCTTTTACACTATGACGCTGTCCATCACTGTCCTCCTTATCCTCAACCTCTCGGACTTCTCCTAACACACCTCTACTCACCTGTTTTGACTTCTTATCACTTCTTTGGTTGACTGACCTTCTCTGCTCACCTGTATTCACTTCTAAAATCAGCCTCAATGCAATTATAGTGGAACATTGACTATTTTCTCCCCTGTTATTTATGTTGCTTTATTGTTTTTTATTCTTCCCTTTGAGTTTTTAAAACTTAAATGTGGACCTGCCTGCTTTCTTACCTCACCTGTTATCAGTATTCCTGCCTGTACATTTTCTTATGTAGAGAAAATCCTTTCATGCAATGTTCTGCTTTTTACCATCTGCATTCGGGTCCTTTTGCTGTTAAAAGAACCTTCCAAGTCAGACACGAGTCTGTAGGAGGACATGAATGTTGATAATTCATGTGCTGAATGAATAATCCACTGTTACACACCAGTCTATGGGGGGTAATGTAGTAAAAAGAAAAAGTCATTTCCAATCAATATTTATCAATAATTGATGTTGTACTTGGCAAGAATTTTAGTTGGTGGTTTACCGTAAAAAAAAGTTTAGATGCCTAAATATATGATAATTAAAATATCTGGCTTAATGTTTAGTGGAGACCAGTCTGAAGACAATTTTTAACCATTTTGATGTCCAGCTGGCAACAAATGTGGGAGTAGATAAGCATAAGTAGTTTTAGCATAGCTAGCATACTTCTTTTGACTGAAGCTGTTCTTCTACCCCGTGCAGACAAAATGTTAATACCACCATGTATCTAGTGGTGATTTATTTGCATAGGCTACGCGTGTCCTTATTCACAAACATTTTGAGAATACGCTCAGAGAGCTTGCAACTAAGCCAAAAAGAAATCTGGGAAGGAGTCCTAGAAAAATAAGTTGCCTACAAAATGTTTGAAAACAACACGCTTGTGCAGTAACTTCCAATAGTAAAATATGATGCTCACATGATAGAAGCACATCTCTAGTGAGATCTACAACAAATATTATACCTGTGTTGGGGTTGTATCAAGTCAACTTTGGTTATATTCTTTAATAATTATACTTAATTATTAATAATATAAATAAAAATATCATTAAACTATGTTTAATCTCGTTTTTGGGGCACCAACCTGTAATCAGGTAAATATAACCAAAATATCACTCAGTCTCAAATTAGTTATTTAATTACTAATATTATTAATAATGAATAACTATATTTAATAAATTGAAGGCGTGAAATCCGTACACAAAGCCTTCGCACCCAGCTTATATCACAATGTAAATACACCAGTAACCACAAACAACTGCTCTCTTAAAATTATAACAGAATTTATTTAAACAAAGCAACATCAATCCAAAATCAATGAACTTAATTAAACAAATAACTATTATAAACTAATCTAAGCAACAAACATTATCAAGCAAAGGCTTGTGGAAGGGGTGTGAATGTAGGTGTGTGTGTGTGTGTGTGTGAGAGAGAGAGAGAGAGAGAGAGGGGGAAGAAGAAAGGGGGGAAGATGGCTTCGTACCCTCGTGGTCGTTCACGATGGCGCAAACCTAACAAAGACCTGGGTGCGTGCGCGTGTGGATGAAAGGGAGAGAGAAGGGGGGGGGAAGATTACTTCGTCCCACGTGGTCGCCCTTCCGATGGCACACACCTAACAAAGGCCTAAATGTGGCCTTAAGGTCTAAAAGAGACTGAGTTCGGCCCTACACAATCTGTGTCTCTGAGGCGTCTGGATAGCCGCGAGTGTATAGATCTCTGTGCGTAATGGCGCGGTGGTGGAGTTGGTCTCCAGATGTACGTTTACACAGGAATATGTGTGTATGTGTGTGCGTAGAAGGGGAAATAAAAGAGAATAAAAGAGAAATGCGTGCCTGAAGAGGCCGGATCACAGTCCGACTCCCGCGCCACAACTCGGAGTAATTCCCTTCATTCACAGAAACAAACCAATAGCTGAATTCAGGTTAATACGGCTTACACTGGCCTTTCTGATCAGAAGAGTAATACCCGGTTATAACGCTGTTACGCTAAACACATATAGGACGCAGCGGTCCGAAACAACAAGAGTTTTAAACAGTTAAAACTCAGGACGCAGCGGTCCAACAAAGATAAAAATTACAGTTTCTGCTTTGATCAACAATTGTTAAAAACACTCTCTAAAGCTAATTCTGCCCAGACCTAATTAAGCCTCACTTGTGAATCGCTTTGTCCGCGATTGGTGAAAGGAAAAGAGCAGATCTTCTGTCCGTCCTGGTGCAGAGGCGTCTGATGGCGGCGAGGGTCCCTTACGGCGAGAGCGGCTTCGTTGGTTCTCCGTCGAGTGGAAAGATGTCCTTTGATGTCCTTTCGTTGCAGGACGGAATAAGACCGTTATCTTTCTGATAATCTGTTATAGTCTGACGCTCTCCGAGAAACTGAGATGCGTTCACTGGACAATCCGAGCTCGGAATTTAGAACACTGCCGGCCGCGGATTACCTGCGCGCCAAAACTTAAAACAAAGGAAGATTGTTGCAGGAAACAGGAGATCTTCTTGGGTCTCCGAGCACCGAAGGTCAGCGCGTGAAAGAGAGCGAGCAATGGAAGTCTTGGAGTTTTGTAGCCTGGCCTGCTCCATGGGGGTCTACCTCAGGTCCCCTCCAATGAGGAGAGAGAGGTTCCGGTCCCCCCTTTACTTCACACGTAGGTGTGAAGTACCGCAGGGGATTCTGGGATTAAGAGTCCTTTTAGGCCTCTTTGTGATCTCAGTGAATAACTCAAATGAGGCTTTTACAGAGGTGCAGGCCCAAGTCCATTGTATGACTGTTCTAAGCCTGCGTGGCCCAACACCTGCATGATCCGATCTGTATCATTCAATGACTCATTGTCATTCAGTGTTTGGAGAACATCTCCACGTATGTCTTTCAGTCATTTTCTCCTCTGCTTGAGAAACTCTTTAGCATCTGAAAAGAACTCCTCACTCATTTTCACTATGCTCTTCACGGTTAAGATGCATCATGTATAACTTTTATGTTACCATGTTTAATATTAAGGGGAAATTCTTAAAAAATAATCTAGATTCAAGACATTTGCTTAGACTTTCATCACCAGGAGCAACTCTTGGTACTGGGAAGCTTTATGAACACAGTCCATTAAGTCTAAGTGCAGCTTGAGGTCAAACATTCCAGAGTGAAAGCTAGATGTAAGGAGGGTCCGTGTGAAAGGGCTGATGCAGGATGAGCTGACAAAATGAAATACTGGGTCAATAAGTCATTAAGGATTACATGGAGAGTTCAGCAAGTGGTGAAAAAACACCATGTGACTCTCAAAGTACAAAGCAGAGAGCTTCCAGAACCATCGTTTTATTTGAATTGTCCACATAAAATTCTTTTATAACATAAATATCCAGTCTGTCTATTTGGAAAGTCCACCAGCTATTTGGTCAGTAACAATCAGACCTACAGAGAGTTCATGCCTTCAAAGGTTTCTTAATGCAAACACTTGGTGAGATGACTTGACAGTCATGGCACACTCATGCTGCTAGTCTCAGTATTTTGTTCTTTACAGTTATGTTACACATTTCACTTTTAGACTTTATTGTCCCCAAGGGGAAATTCTTTTCCACAGCACCGTTACTGTCCAAACAGACAAGTCCCACCAAAAAACATTCATACACAGAAAACAGAGTACAACACAAACAGAGACAAAAAGTCAAGAGACAATCTAAAATGTATGTGCTATTATAATTCCCAAGACTCAGCTGCTTGGTGTCTGCACTGTTTATATGTTAACTTCACTGTTCAGTCAGCAGAAAATCCTTATCTTAAAATAGATTTAGACTTCAACAACCAGTAGATATCTGACTATACCCTTTACAATTCTGTTTTAAACCCTTGAGTTGACAGTGCTAGCCAATGGGGCTAGGATGCTAATAAATACATTTTACCACCAATAGACTGTTCTACACTGGAAAAGTAAATGTTACTTACCATATACAGTGAGTTTATGTCTTATTATGGAACTACTTCCTTTTTTAGGGTCAATACTATAAACACCAGAGTCATTCCGCTTTAGTCCTCTGATTTTGAAAAGACCAGTTTTGTTGTTCCATAAAAGTCTGTCCTTGAAAGGTTCCTCAAATATATCTATTTTTTTGTCCTTCACTTCAGCAATGTTACTTCCTTGAAATATAAAAAGTCCATTCTCCAAAGGATCAGGAAAAGTGATGAATCCTCCCTTAATGCCTGACTGGTGACTCTTCAACTTTACATCAGCAGATGAGACGATCACTGTAAAGATATAGAGAGAGGTGCAACAGTTTTAGTGAGTGTATGGAGGGGATCCTCTGACTATTTCCTCATCAGAGTTCAACAATACCTTTCACAATCTTTAAAAAAATGTTTTAGAAGAGGGAATCCATTTCTTCAATCATTTCTCCTGAAGGTAAGTAAGGATTCATTCACTTGATTGTGATAGACATCAAGGTGTCCAGTAATTCTGAGTAACGTACACATGGTAATTTGTTCCAATGAAACTCTGTTTCATTGCCACAGTAAGTAGTTTGCTCTGGCAAAATGTATTTGCCTATACACAACAAGTAACCATAGCAACAAGGGAAAAGTCAAATAATCTATTGACAATATTATACTTTGTTTTTTATATCATCTTGTTACGATGATGCAGGAATTTTATGAAGTAAAGAGAAAATACAATTCAACAACAATTTTAAATTTAAATACTAAACTCTAAAAAGATAATAGCCTAGAGGAAGAGGTAGCAAGAAAGTAAGAAGACAATCATAAACTTCAGCCTGGTGTTAGGATTTTGAGTTGAAATGTGTTGAGTGTGAAAAAATAGCAATTTTTCAAAAAACCTCTCTGAGTTGCCCTTTTTCCGTATCTTTTTCAGTTTAAGATTTTTTTTCTTAAACCACTGAGAGATTGAGGGGACTTGATTAGACTTCCTGCCTGCATGTAAAGGATGTAAAAGATAAATTGTTTAGAGGTGAATAAGCTACACAACGAGGCACCAAAAGGGCAGATTTAAATTTTTATCATTAACATTTTGGCCATAGTCTCAAAATAGTTACGCCAGAGGTTTGATAACTTTGACCATGAAGAAGACATGTTATTTAAGTTGCATGGGGATGTTTGAAATCTGTCACACTTTCATTTCAGACAACCTGGCTTTAATAAAGAGAACCCTTTTCAGGACTGTATAGTACCTAGTCGAGCAAAGAGCGCTTGTGTGGGTCCTTAAAGCCCTTTGCCAACACTCCTCTGTAAATGTCATGCCTCCCTGCATGAACCCCCATGAAGTAGTAGTAGATGTACAGATCTTTGAGATCAGTGACCTCTATCAAGGATTAAGCTCGAGTAGAAACTTCCCAAGGTTGTTTCAGATGCAAGATAGTTAGGAAAGAGGTAAACTGCACAGTGTCTATATTTATAACAGCATTAAAAGGGTGGACGTCACTTGAAGGTCTAGAGCCAGAGGGGTTGAGCGAGCATAAATTGCAAGACTGTGACTCAAGTCCAAATCATGGATAAATCACAGCCTTTATTTTAAAACATCTTGATAATGACTTGGGAATAACAAAAATGATGGATAGCTAGTTTACATTTTTAAAATAGTTCAAATCTTTTCTTTTTAAGTGTTTGACATGTTATTGACTTTGAATCTTACTATAATACCGTAAGCTTTGTAGCTAACAGCTAAAGTTTTTTATGAGCTTAGTTAATCGTTTATATTACTAGTAAGCATTGTCAGAGATAGATGCTGCCCTTCTGATGTATATTATCAGTAATTATTGGACAATGTGTAGGCCTGACTTTTGGTCACGTCAGCTCATCTCACATTACATACACATACAAATCACTACTTCGGGATCATGTAAGCAGTTTAAATTGTATTTTTTCTGCTCGGGTTTGACGCCTGCCTTCATCACAGACATCAGTGTGTGTCGCTCTTCAAGACATGCAATCAGATTTATGATCATGGAAAAGGTGTACCTTAAGGCTCCCTTAGGTCTGTTACTGTTATATATTTTTATTAAGGATCATCCACAAATTTGTTCCAACTGTCAAATTAGACAAAAATAAATAAATAAATTGTCAATTGTTTTACAGTGTATTTTATACATGTTGTTGCTCTGCATCAATTCTGTATTACTTTCTTGATGTGTAAAACCGTTTGTAGGTGCATTAGATGAAATAATCCTCTCGTACAAACAGAAAGGTGTTTAGTTGAGTTTCTCATTGTCCAAGACGGGGGTAAACATCATCATCTTAAATACATGCATCACTTACTGTGCCAACTTACAGAAAAAGATGAAGATGATCGTCATCTGCAACTCCATTACAGTAACATGAAGACATACATCCTGTGATCAGTAAAAGCTGCTTTTATCTGACACACAAAGTCCCTCGGTCCTCCGGTTCCAGATTACCTGGACAAACAGGGAAGTTGCTGAACACAATATTAGTGAATAATAGTCGATTGAGAGCGAGAGAGAGCAAAGAGGAGCAAGTGAGAAGAGAGAGAGATTGAGAGTGTGAGAGAGAGAGAGGGACAGAGGGAGGGGCAATTAAAGAGACAGGGAATTCTAATTTCATGTTACAGCTTTATATTACACTAAAACTTCTGCAATATATAAACAAGACCAAATAGATTTTTTTCATTTCATTTTATTTGCTAATTCAACACTATATTGTTAATTTTTTTCTTGTTTTTGCACCCGCTGATGACAAAGTGGTTTATCTACACTTTTATTGTCCGTTAGACAAATAAGTACATCAGTCTTAAACTGGGACTGTTTGAAAATGTATCAAAAACTCCTCACAGTGGAATTAATGAAATATGCTAAGACCGGCCAGTGATGAATACAACATTAATATGAGCTAATATGCCGTTTACAGATAAATATATTTATGATCCTATACAGCTCACTGTCTTGATTCAGACTAAACATGGAGTAGCAGTGGTCAGTTTTTATTTTTAATTTGAGGTTGTCTTTAATCTTTATATCATGTAAGCAGTTTAAATTGTATTTTTTCTGCTCGGGTTTGACGCCTGCCTTCATCACAGACATCAGTGTGTGTCGCTCTTCAAGACATGCAATCAGATTTATGATCATGGAAAAGGTGTACCTTAAGGCTCCCGTAGGTCTGTTACTGTTATATATTTTTATTAAGGATCATCCACAAATTTGTTCCAACTGTCAATTTCAACTTTATGCAGATGATAGAGTATTTCCACTTCAAATCAAATACATACAACCAGAGATGACCAAAGTGCTGAACAGTAAAATAGGATGAAGAAACATACACATTCGACCTTTGGGACCACAGGAAACTAAGAGGTGGAATGGTGGGCGATCTTAAGGCACTGAAATGCTTAGGGGGCTAAAAAGTGTGGCTTCAGTCTGGTCTTAAAAATGTCTAAAGAAGGGGAACACTTAATTACTAAGAGGTAAGTAAGAATAAATCTGTTTTTAATTACAGTATAGGACAGCTTTTGCAGCTCAATGCAACTTAAAAATGTTAAGTTGATGTATAATGTCACCAATTTCTTACACAGATCATAAATCATTTATAGTAAAGTAAAAAAAATGAGTTTGCAGTAAAAACTTTTACTTGTACAGTAAAAACTAAACAAGTAAAATGTACTTGTTACTGTAACATACAAAAGAGAGTTAGTATCACTTAAGGTTTTTGATGTAATGAGTTTCAACTATTTTATTGAGTTGTTTGGGTTTTACAGTGTACTTTACACATGATTTTGTGTAAAAACTACTCACAGTGGAATTAATGAAATATGCTAAGACTGGCCAGGGATGAATACAACATTAATATGAGCTAATATGCCGTTTACAGATAAATATATTTATGATTTTTCCTTTTGCAATCATACAAGAAAGACAACTTGCATATAGCACTATTAAGAATACAAACTTTCATTAGACTTCTGCTTCTTTGTTTAAGCCTCAGTTTCCAGTTGACTGCATGTTTGAAGCATTACTGTCTGTGAAGACCTACAACACTCTTTCCACACTGCAGCAGGTTTTCTGTGCCTGTGGTTCCCTTGACTGAAACCACATACATCTTTCTGTCACGCTACTTCAGAATAAATGCTTATATACAAGAGATGCTGTCCAGACACAACCAGAGAGACATCTAGTCAACCACAGCATGACACAAAAAAACATGTATAGCTCGCTTTCAATTCTAAAACCGACCACAGAGAAGACTTCTTCTTTGTTTCTCACACTACATGCAGGCATATATAGATATATGTTTTAACATTTTGTTCCACTTGTGGGCTGTTAGTATTGAGAGGAGATGCCACAGACTATAGTTAGACTTATTGTGACAGGTGGTTTTTTGTTCCCACTTGCAGCACACAGGGGAACAGATAGCAATAGTAATATTTTAATGTTAAATTGCAAGTTCAGGATTAATCAGGTAAAGAAAAGAGCATTATATTTCAATGTTAGGGCTTAAAGCCCGATCAGTCCAATGCAACAAATCACAGGGCTTTAAGAAGAATGCCTGGAAGGAATGCCTGGAGATAATATCCTAATATGGCACCCAAATTGTACTTGTGAGATTGAGATATCTCAGGGAAGCCTTTTAGAGAAATGCTTTAAATTTGGTACAAAAAATCACTTGAAGGCCTAATGAGATGTGAGTGTTGAAATGTCAAATCTCTTGGTCATTAAGACCTCACATCAGTTTCTTAACCCCTTCCATACCTGTTTACTCTTCTGTTGCGAGAAGGGTTTGTTGACTATCTCTGCAGAAAAACAAAGAGCTTCTCTTTGGTATTATGCTTTGAAATACGTGGAAACCCATATTAAATAAAAATTGCACAAAGACAATTTATTAAATGTTGTGACAGAAACTTATTTTTGTTTTGAATTTCATTCTGACATGTTTCAAACAGTTGGGACAGTGGTAACAAAAAAACAGCTGATGGAACATTTTAGTTGATAAGGTAAACTTTGAAAGGTTAGTAGCGTGATTGTGTATAAAAAGAGCATCTTAGCGAGGCTTAGTCCCCCTGAAGAAGGATGGGGAGGGACTCTGTTAAGGGCTGTGCTGGCAAATAGTACATCATTTTAAGAATAGTGTTTTTTTTATCCTTAAATTGCATAAAATTGGTCAGCTAGGCTTCCCTAGCAAAGAGCCCAAAGGGAACATGAGGGCTGCACTAGTCTGGTTACAGGAGCGCAGCACAGGCAAACTTAATACTCCAGGAACTTACATTTTTGTGTACTCACAATCCACAGAATTAGTTGGCTAGGTTTCAAACCTGTGGTGCGTCAGTCCCTTGTCAGAATAATATGCAAGGCATGGAGTGTGAGAAACACTGAATGCTGACAGCATGAAAAACAGCGGGCATATGTGGAGTAAACAGCCACTCTCTCTTCCACACCAGTAAGTGGCAAAGACAGTCTTCTCCTAACTCACTTTCTCTCACATTTTCAATTCACACAAACGATCAATTCAAAATGATCAGTGACAATGGGGATGCACAGGTGCTCTTATGCTATCAACAGCCACCTCAAAGGTATATGGTCTTAAAGCCAATTATCCACAAGGTCACCTGACCCAGTGGGTCAGCCCCTGTACATATGGAATATGTTTTTAACTAGGAAAACCTCATTGAGATTAAGAATCTCATTGACAGGCAGAAGGATTTATGGTTTATAAAGTGGAACTAATGCTTAATGTTGAAGATGTTAAAGGGATACTTCACTCGTTGAAACATGAATCTGTATTGACATTGAATCATGTATGTAGTAGAAATGTGAAATACATTTTGAAGTTGGTGCCTTCTTGACCAAGAAAAGGCAGAAAGTGTCTTTTTGGCTCATGTGGATGAAAGACACCAAATCTCAGAATGCACAGCACCGCAGGCCACTCCCACTGAAGCTATGATGCTCTATTTACAGATATTTACTAAAACACATACGGCAGTTTCAATCTCAATTGATTCCGAGATTTCTTCCTGAAGGAATTGGCATCTTGGAAATTCCTGGTAGAAAACAGACTCTATGTCTGTGTCCAGAGGCAAACAGTGAGAGCACCGACACCACCAGTCCGCCCCAGCTCGAGCCTTCTGGTCTTCTGCTGCGGCTGCCGAGGTAGAAGACCGGCCTGTCGGCAGCAGCCACCTCATTGCTATATTGGGGCTCGTAGAGCTACTAGTAAAATTATGATTTTTGCGTCATCGGAAGCTCCAACAAATACAGATCTTTCCAGTCTCAGGAGGAAATGAGTGCGGGATGCACAACCATTCAAAAATACTACCAAGTTTCTAATGATACAAAATTAATGCAAATTATTGCTGGGCTGGGGACATTTCTAGATACAGGGTTCAAACTGATTGGGCTGCATTTAGAACAATATTTTTAATATTGCAAAGAAAATTAAGAACCTCAAGTAAACCAATTGGGGCCTGCTTTTCAAGACAGCTCAGGTATATTTAAATGTCTACTGCAGCGTGAGCACAAATTAGATCTCTATTAGAGCTACAGAAAACTATGGAGTTTGATAAGTCTCAATATTCATGAATGCACACAAAAGGAACTTTTAATGCAATGTTTTATATAAATTACTATCCACAGAAATATTTGTCAATGCACACACAAATATTTATCATTGTATATAAATGTAAAAAAAAATGTCTCCTTCCTATTCAGCCAATCAAAAATAATGTAGATTCAAGGGTATGGTTTAATCTAACCCCTGCAAAGTCAGCAAGTAGCTGTGTGATTCAAGTCATCTTTATGCTATTTTGTGATTGTCGTACTATAGATGGAAAAATGTTTATCGTTATGGAGTTATTATTGTGGAGAAACTATTTGAATATGTGTACACAGATCCACAAATGTGTAAAAAGATCCACAAATGTGTAAACTAATCTGCAAATATGTAGACCAATTTCAAAATGTTTACTTATTTATTAATGGCAGTGAGTTTTTTCAGCTGTAAATCCTGAAAATACACACAAATGATCACTTACAACTGAGGCGGGCCTCTTCATTGGCTGTCATTGTTGAAAGTTGATTATCTGCCCATACCCTTTTTAAATTTTGTTCCCATAAAAAGTTACCTTCACGTGATTCGCGTGATGTCAATAAATATTGTAACTGTAATATTGCTGTGAGAAAACCCCTGATTAAACAAGAGTTTGAATTATGCACACTGAAGATAAAAGTGATATGAATATTACTTTGACATCATAAAAAAAACAAGGACACAAATAAGTTTTGTTCTTTGGTACATGCTCTGGCAGCAGGACCCTGAGTTATTTGAGAAGCTTCATTTAGAATTTAACCTCTTGTTTGTTATGAAACAGGAAGCTACACTTTTTAAAGAAGAAGGTTAGCTTTTATTTTGGTCTTTGCTCAGTGGTGACATGAGCAGGTTTCACACACTCCTGAGTGCTGAACGGGTCTGACATCTGAAAACGACAATGAAGTTACACCTGAGGATCATCATCTTTTTATTAGGTAACTTTTTTTCTGCACATACCTGTAAATGTGATTTCACCTGATCATGTCTAATGAACTGTTATATTTTATGTTTAATAGATTTTAGAGGCCATAAATTGAGTTATCTATGTTACTGTATTTAACTCACACTGCACTGGTGTCCTTGTCTTTAAAAGATGCAGTAAGATATTTATCTATTTCCTTAAAACTTTTAATTTATTATATTATTGAAATGTATCTAAAAAAGAACTAACTAACTCCTAACTAACAAATTTATTTTTTACAGTGATCGTCTCATCTTCTGATGTAAAGTTGAAGAGTCACCAGTCAGGCATTAAGGGAGGATCCATCACTTTTCCTGATCCTTTGGAGAATGGACTTTTTATATTTCAAGGAAGTAGCATTGCTGAAGTGAAGGACAAAAAAATAGATATATTGGAGGAAACTTACAATGACAGACTTTTATGGAACAACAAAACTGGTCTTTTCACAATCAGAGGACTAAAGCGGAATGACTCTGGTGTTTATAGTATTGACCCTAAAAAAGGAATTAGTTCCAAAAGAAGTCATAAACTCAGTGTATATGGTAAGTAACATATATTTACTCACTCCAGTCATTGGCATCCTAGCCCTTAGTGACCTCAGTAGTCCATATATTTTTACATTATTTGAGCGGATATATAGCATTGCCTGCCTAAATCACAAGAAATCAAATTGATTGTTGTATTGCTACATCTGAAAGATGCCCAGAGGAATTCTAGAAATGTTCAGATTTGTGTCTCGACAACAGAAAATGCAGCTCTACTTTGAAGACCGTGATGAGTCTGGGTAGATCAACATAAAAGCATAATGTACATTATTAAAATAATAATGTCACTGCTGTTTGTGGCATAACTCTGGTTTTATAACATCAACACCCTCCTGAAAACATTTACTTGTTATTTTCTTCTCCAGAGTCTGTAGCAGCTCCTGCAGTGGAAGCTGTGAACGTGAGCGCAGAGAGCTGCTCCTTTCTGTGTTTGGTGAAAAAGACTGAAGAGACGACTCTGCTGTGGTACAAAGACGAGGAAATAATCAACCAGAGCAGCTCTGCTCTCTCACTGCCTCTCACTGTACACAGACATGATGTCAACTCATCTTATAGATGTGTGGCAGCCAACCCTGCTGAAAATAAGACTCTTCATGTCGATGTAAGGAACATCTGCAGTCCAGGTGACACAACGACACAAGTAGCAACAGTGAATGTTCATCTTCTCAGTGAGACATGATGTTTATGTTACTGATGTTGGTGATATATGTTTCTGACAGGTGGCAGTAACACACAGTCCTGGTTGTTCCTGACTCCTGTGTTGGTGTTTTGGGTTACTTTTGCTGTTTGCATCCTTTTGACAAACATGAAGAGAAAGCGAAAGAGAGAGACTGACGGCTGATCTACAATCATGTCAGTACATACACACACACATACACCGCTCTCAGACTTGCTTTATTCCTGATTTATCACAAAAATCACTAATTCTAAATATTTATCATTCACCTCTTTCTGTATTTGTGTCCGATCCTCACAGATGCAAACAGTCGTGAAATGTGAGGAAGCTCCAGACTGAGGTTTGTGTAGCTGCCATGACATCCTGCAGTGCTTTGTGAATGTGGCATCACCAGATGAGGAACAACAGATGCATTGACTGATCCAAAGTGGGAAATGGAATTGATAATGAACGTGACACGACATGTGATAGTGTTTGACTTGAAAAGTCAACACTTGAGACTGGGAATATTGAAAACATGAAAAAAAGTAAAACACTTATCGTTAAAAAGATTAATTTCACCAGTAATAATAATAATAATAATAATAAAATCCACATATTAAAGTCAAAGAAGGGGAAGAGAGTTGAAAACTGGAAAAAATTGCTCCTGATCCTTCCCACACAAATCAGACTGCAATTGCCTTGAATACTTGAACACTTCAATTTGAAAGACTTAACTTTTTCCTACATCATACTGTACCTTAATTATTTTAATGCATCCTTTCCTTTATTCAACCATTCGCTCTTAATAGTTTTTATCCATTCCTAATCCGGCTAATTAGCCTTCTTCTTATGTTGTAGTCTTCAATTCTCTGTTTCTTTTATATATTTATTTTATGATCTATCTTTTATCCATCCCTCTTTATCTTCTTTTTTTTATGTGATGTCATCTTCTTCTTCTTCTTCATTTTTATATGATGTTATATGATTCTTAGTTGTGTTGACTTTTTCTCTTGTATTTACATTCTTTAACTGTGTGGCTTTTATAGCTTTAACTTTAACAACATGAGCTGCTGCATCAATCTGGAGACATAACTGAACAGAGTCTGATAAACAAAAGGGTTTATTTTATTTGCTGTTATTTGTTTTGTGCATTTTTCCTTTATTTGTTGTAGAAAATGTGATATTTACAATCCTGCAGGGAGGTGCATTATAGTTTTGCAGGTACAGACATCATTTATAGAATTATTAAAAAAACAACAATAAGTCAATCTTTTCAGGAAACATGAACTCCAAAGAAAGTTTTTTCAATGGATTTAGCAATTGCACATGTTTTGATATTGATTGCAGGTAGTAAGGAGATAATAATACATTTTATAAGTCTGTTTCCTGTAGTCACAGTCAGTACACACTCTGCAATAACAAAACAAACAAACAGATGAAAAGTACTCTAACCAGAGACTCTGTCTGACAAACCACATGAAACAAACAGATTTTTTTATATTTTATATAAATATGTGCAGTGTTGAGGAGTGGTTTCAGTATCTAATGACCCACAACATGTTTCTGATGGTGTCTTTTCACAGTGCAGTGAAACAGCGCTCTCTTGTGTCACCTTTCATCATTACATCTGCACCCACCGTTTTAGAACTTCTCTTGACGAATGTAATATTGATGTATGTACCAAAAAACAATATAAATAAAGTAAGAAAGCTCATCGTTGTGTTTATTTCAAGAAAGCTAAAATACTGCAATGCTGAGGTTCCTGAAAATACAATTTGAAAAACTTTATATCCTACAAAGGAGCTTTATTAAAAAAGTGCATATAAAGGATGTATTAGTCTTTATAAGGCATGAACCTGTTGTAGTCTTATTACTGATATGAATCATCTTTTTAACACTGATAAGTTGTCTATCAACAAGTTTGTTTTAATTGTTCATTCATATTTTACATTTAATACAAGTGTTTTATACTTTGAACACTCATGAAGTCTGAACATTTACTGTTCAGATTGGTTATTTGTGTCTTTTAATGTCTAATGATATATTGTTGTATGTTTGGCTGCTCGTTGTTTGTGTGAAACTCTGTTCATTGTGCTGCTGTCTGTCTTGACCAGGACACTTTGGAAAAAGAGATTTTTAATCTCAATGAGTTTCTTTCCTGGTTAAATAAACGAATACGATTATTCATGTTAGTGAATGTTTTAGTCATGTTTATGACCGGTATATCAACTGTTTACATGTTTCTAATTTGATGTATAATTACAATAATACATGTGTAAAATATGTTTGTATTAACACTAACATAGACTTATTTATGTTTATAAGCATCGAATAAGGTTTTATAATTGACTTATTAACAATTAATTAGCCTACTGCTTATTAAAAGGCTTTAAAACACAGGCAGACTTTATGAGCTCATGATCAAATGGATTCCCAAGACATGAAACAAACTGGGATTTTTTAAATGTGCACTGGAGTTTAGGTAGAGAAATGTGAAAATTGGAGAAATGTACAGATTCTGTGGTATGTTCATGACTCTATACACAAACTGTCCTCAGAGGAAAATGTGGTCCCAGTGTTTCAGTGAATCTGCACAGTGCACCTTTGATATAATAATAATAATACATTTGACTTATAACGCACTTTACGGATTTGAACAGAAATCTCAAAGTGCTAATTGGAATAAAACCAAAAAAACGGTAAAATCAGGCAGAGTTAAGGACCTGAGCGTAAAACAAGGTTTAAAAATAGTAGTTTTAGGGAGAGGGTTTAGAGAAAGGCTCTTTTAGGAGGGGCATTGCCGTGTTTGCATTGATGGGTAAGTTATGAGATTTTATATTTGATCCTGAGAGAGACAGGAAGCCAGTGAGTGCAGGATAATGAGATGTAATCTGTTTCTTCACTCTCATCAGGATCTGGGCAGGACTGTTCTGGAGTTTCTGTACACTCTTGCCAGGGATCCCGATGAGAAGTGCATCACAGTAGTCCAGCCTGGAGGAGACAAAGGAGTAGTCAGCGTCTTGGGGGATGAGTGAGGTGAGGAGTTTTTCAATGTTCTTGAGATGGAAGAATGATGTTTTAACAGATGTGTTTTATGTGTGGTTCAAAGGTTAGATGAGGGTCCATTTTTACACCTAGGTTGGTGATGAGTGGTGAAAGATGGATGTCTTGACCAGAGAAGGAAAGCAGTTATGAGAGATGACTGAACTTGGTGAGGTGTGCCGACTAGGATGGCTTCAGTTTTTGAACTGTTTAATTGGAGGAAGCTTTGACTCATCTTTATGACATTTTCTATACTGGAAGATCTGCTTTTGGCATCTTTGCACCATCAGCTTGGAATTTGCTACAAGGCACTTTAAAAATCAAGGCACTGGTCTCTTATGGCCATTTCAGATCTTTAATTATTAACTCCTTTACTTCTGATTTTGTTTATCTATGATGTGTATATATATATATATATATATATGTGTGTATGTATACAGTATATGCATATGCTTATGTGTGTATGTGTACATATATATGTATATGTATGTTTGTTATTTTTCATTGTTTATCCTGCTCGACGTCATTGTAAATGAGGGCTGTGCTCTCAATGATTTTCGAGTGTAAATAAATAAAGACATAATACATATACATGTTTTAGGTGGTGAGTGTGGATGAATGTGGTGAGGCTGAGTGGTTGGTGTGGGTTTTCATATAAAGTTGGGTGTCGTCAGTGTAAGGCAGTGTAGTCAGAGGGTGTGGTGATGAAGTAGGAAGCAGACTCATGATTCTGTGTTGAGGGTCCCATCAGTGGACATTTATTTACAAGTGCAACCAGGAAAGATGAATTCTGAACTGAAAACTATAAACATAAGAAACTGAGGAAGAAACACAAACTCATCACAGCATAAGTCCTGGTGTTTGTTCCTGACCTGTTTTTCCCCCACAGCACAAACGACTCTCCTTTATAGAGCCAAACCTCCCCAATTACCCAATTACCAGCACCTGGCTCTTGAAGGCATCACAACATGTGCAATTTTCCCATACGGATACTGTTAGCAGCTTCCCCTTCAGACATGGTATCGTCTTTGACGGCACTGCTAACGTCACAGAAAGCTTAAAGACAGGGAAACATGGGGCGGCCTCCCTTTCTGCGTGATTCCCGCGACAGGTAAGTTCGTTTGTAGACACAGGAAATTACTTGACTTACAATAACTGTAAAACCACGAAATGAAACTACTAATAGTGATGGCGACATGAGGCTGTGTGAAGCATTGAGGCTTTCCAGCCAATTGTATTGCAATAGATTCATTACTCGAGGCCTCATTAAACAGTGTGTAGTGACACTGTTACAGCAGGCTGAGTGTCCTTGATGACCATGTTGACCACAGCATCATCCAACACCTGCTTTCTGGAACCTAGGACAAAACGAAAATGTATTTTAGTCAACATGTATTTTGGTATGATTGTGATGAAGCAAAGCAAATTACAGGGGAAAAAGTACAAACCTTGTCTGGTTCCTGGCCTATTATCAGGCTGTACATTCTCATGGACAGCTCGATAATGCCTTAGCATTGATGAGGTGTTGTTGCTATAGGCAAGCTCCTTAAGGCACACCAAGCACTTCACCTTCAAATCAAAATAATAAGCCATCAATAATGAACACAGATAATGATGATAGTGACAGAAATAATTGAAGCGGTTCAGCATATCAATACATGAAAGCTTTGTAGCAAAATGGTTATGGCGGTGCCAATGTCGACGTAGAGGCTCGGGTTTGGATCCAGAAACCACTGAACAAATGTTTTGTTTCAATGTTTTTTTAACGTTTACCTTATTGGGAGATGATAACTGAAAATGCTCCCAAACAGGAGACGTTTTCCTCTTTCTCACAGGCTCCATTTCTCAAAAAAAAATTGAACCAAAACTCCAACTCTCAACAACCAACTAACGCAAACTCACGAGGAGACATGACAAGTGGGTTTCGCTTCCTTTTATCCACAACCCGAAACACAAACAAATCAATGACGTAGTTCTACTCGAAGTGAGGCCTCGTTTGTCATCGATGACGCGCTTCTCTGAAAATGACACGAGCCTCGATACATAGAAATGCCCCTCGTACTCGACACATGCTTCAAAGCCTCGGTGTCAAACGTAACATCACTAACTACTAATAAAGGTACTATAATTATAAACCTTGTTTGTCTGTCATTGTTATTTTTATGTTAACCTGCATTAAGAAAAGATGCAAATGCCACCTAAATATAGCACTACTCAAAACAAACCCGGGATAGTATTGTGTATGCTATATTAGGAGTTCATGGTTAACATTCAGGTGATTAAACAAACATAAAACAAATACATAAATAACATTAACTGGAATATTAGTATGACCTAAGTGACAAATGGCCTGGTCGAGTCCACTTTGTCACAGTCAGCGTAGCAGGGGAATGAGTTTCCGTGTGTCGGGTGATGATGTGTCCGAGGGGAAGCAGGTAGAGGGTGAAGCAGGTAGGGCCGAGGACTGATCCTTGGGGGACCCCACAGGTGACGGGGTGTGTGCAGGACTTGGTGTCTGCAATTTCAATGTATTGAGTCCTTGCAGATAGGTAGGACTGAAACCAGTTTAGTGTCTGAGAGTGCTGTGGAGTCGGTTCAGGAGGATGTTGTGGTCGATGAGATGCTGCAGTCAGATCGAGGAGGATGAGCAGGGATGGAGAACCGCCCTCAGCTACCATCAGCAGGTCAGTTGTGATCCTAACCAGGACTGTTTCGATGCTGTGGGAAGAGCGGAAGCCAGACGGGAATTTGTTGTAGACGTTACTAAGTTGTAAGTGGTCGTGGAGCTGGGCAGCAACTGCTTTTTCCAGAACCTGTAAGGGGAACGGGAGGTTGGAAATCCCTTCAGACAGTAGGGAGGGATTAATGACTGTTGTGTTTGGTGGACTTATGGCGTGGATGTTTGATTTTACCAGGGCTGAGGGGAAGGGGTCCAGGGCACAGGTGGTGGGTTTCATTCTGCGGATGATGCTCTCGACTTCTTGCTGTGAAATACTGGCAATGCAGCAGAGGGGCTGGGAGATCATCGGCTGTGGGTTGACAGTAATATAAAGTGGAAGTAAAACTGAATAAACTTAAACTCTGCATGTATTCAAAGAGTTGGCAGTAATCACTTTATCTTTCACTGAAATAAAACAAAAAGTTTAAATAGCAGTGTACTATATATTTTCATAAAATGATCTATTTTTCTTATTCTCTGCACAGACAAATAGACATGTTTTCACCCGTGTTTAAAACAGGATTACAGAATTAACCTTGTGGTATGATTCAGTCATCCATGAAGTTGCTAATGATCAACAAAATGTCAGTATATGTAGTGGAAACTTTGAAAGTTATCTGGCTAACTGTGTGACTTCTTGGTGGAGTACATAAAGAATATTCAATTCAATATTTTCATTTTTTAAATCAGTTCAGCCCTGATGTTCTTCCAAGCAGATTGTGGGAAGTAAAACCACTCTAACTGTATCTAACACCACAGGAAGAGAAACTCTTCGGAACCAACAAAAATCATTTTGCAGTGTTGTTTTTGCTTCTTTTTCTAAAGAAAAAGTATTTGAGTTCTCCGATGCTGCCACTCAGTGGAGTGACTGCTGTGAGGTCAAGTGCGTACCCTCTGTACCCTTTTTATCATCTTTTTGTCTCCATTAAGGACCGTATTTTATACATTTGATT